CAGATCGCGGCATGCCGGGAAAAATATGTCCGACTGGTACGTTGAAGACTCCAAAAGTGTACAAGCTAGTGCTTACCGGTGGACCATGCGGAGGGAAAACTACTGGGCAGGTAGATATTGTTGTATTTCTACTTGTCTTTTCTAGCTTTTCTTTTGTATGTACGAGTTCAGTACTCAGTTTGCAGTATGATGATTTGAACTTGAAGTTCGGAAAATTTACTGTATGTTTAATTTTTGATTTACATCATGTAGTCACCAAGTAGTAGCAGTATCCATTAGTATCATTAGATGAAGCTGTATTGTCTTTTTTAGGATCGCCTCGCCACGTTTTTCGAGAATATCGGTTGGAAAGTCTACACTGTGCCTGAGACTGCTACCATCTTATTTGGAGGCCGAGTGAAATTTGAAGAGCTGAACTATGATCAGGCCTACCTTTTCCAAAAGGATCTGCTCAAAACCATGCTTCAAATTGAAAATGTAAGTGTTTGGTGCCTCTACATTCCTTTTCTGTTTGTTTTATAAGGCATAGGTAAGGGACCCTTACTAAGGATGATTCCAACCTGCTTCGATAGTTGCTATAGTTCGCAGGTGTAAATTTGGAAATAGCGCAGAATTTTCATTGGGACCCAGGTGCCAATTATTAGAATGGTTTCGATATCTGGCTTTTGAGCGTTAGAAGTTTGGGAAAGGCGCATAGATATAGCGTTTTTGATCTAACTTAACTGATTACCCAACTTGCATAGCAGTACCTACAGTCTTTTAGGAGTCCAAGCAATGAACCTAAAATTTCATTCTAACGTAGTTACAATGCTATATTTAGACATATTTCAACCAAGCCGCTGCAACCACTGATCGTAACGTCTTGATAATTTGTGACCGTGGTGGAATGGATCCTTCTGCCTATACTGATCGCGTAAGTTATTGTTCCGATAACTCGTTATCTTACTAAATCATATATAGCTTCATACTTTCTCGCAGCTATCCCATTTTGCATATCTTTTTGCTTCAAATGTGTAGTATACATTTCCTATAGATACTGAGCAGTTTGAATGAACAGTGATGTAGTCCTCTTTCATTCAGGATTCTTGGCTACGCATGCTGAAAGAAATTGGTGTGGAAGAATTCGACCTGCTCAACAATCGTTACGATCAGGTATTTTAGAAATTTGTTCATTCACATTTATTGCAGCTAGTCATGTGCACTGCATTTAGCAGGCATTTGCATGGCTTTGGATCCCATGCCCTTTACAATATCAAATCTTTCTTCTTCGCAGGTTGTGCATCTGGTAACTGCTGCAGATGGAGCGGAGCAGTACTACACACTCGCAAACAACACCACTAGAAAAGAAAATCTTGAAGCTGCGAGACAAATGGATC